GACGCGTCTGGGCAGTATTAAAGTTTCCAAAAACGGGGGTTATGCCATTTTTATCAAAAACTTGAGTTGGGAGCTCGAATTTTGGACGAGGGATTGAGGGATTTTCAGAGATATCGATTGGGTAAAGATTTTTAACTCCTTTATGGTTATATTCCACTAATCTATGCTTGAATTCATCGTTTAATTTCGGATTTGGGGTGAAAATTTGAGAAAAGTTCTTAGGCCAAATTTTGGGGTTTTGATCGAGATTTTGGTATCGGATTTGAATAATTTTGGTACAAGTAAACTCGGGAGCGAATGGGTGTTCGTATTTTGTGACTTTTACTCGATTCCGAGACGTGGGCCCCACGAAAAAGTTTTTGAGTTAATTTCCAAATTTTAGTTAAAATGTTGATTTCATTAATTAGATGAGTCTATTATGGTTGTATTTATGATATGTAATTTCTTTTGACTAGATTTGGGCAATTCAGAGCCGAATATTCGTGGGAAGGCATCGTGACCGATAGATTGAGCTTGGTTCGAGATAAGTGGATTGCCTACCTTTGTGTAGGGGAAATCCCCTTAAGATTTGACACTATTGTGATATGTGAGCGCCGTGTACGTGAGGTGACGAGTACGTACACGGGCTAGTTGTGGTAAAAACCTGATTTTCTTACTAGGCAGCAACATATTTTCCTGTTATTTTGAGTTATACCATTTTAATGAGTACAAATCTATTTTATTCTTAATTAAGTTATTCCAATATGTGTGGTTATCATGTTTAGTCTATTACAACATGTCTACGTGTCTTAATTGTTTATGTGAATTATGTGCAGCATGCTTAGTGAATTTTCCGCTCCTTCCCTGACTGGTACCTAGACTAAATTGTAAACATTTCGTGATGTATTTGTATTTCTATCTCTCGCGCTGCATATTTACTTTGGAACTACGGAACGGTATTCTGGGAGATCCCTCTGTCTTGCATATTTAAATTGGGACTACGGACGTATTCCGAGAGATCCCCCTGTCTTACATATTTATTTTGGGACTACGGACGTATTTCGGCAGATTCCTCAGCACTGCATATTTACTTTGGGACTACGGACGTATTCCGTGAGATCCCCCTGTACTGCATATTCATTCGGGACTACGGGACGGTATCCCGGGAGATTCCACATTATGTCTACCTTGTTCTGAGCCGAGGGTTCCCTTGACTGTTAAATTTCTTTGAAAAATTTTCTTTAACTGTTTACCGTAAAACTTACTTATATCATTTTACTATTTAATTTATTATATTTATTCCGATAGGGCCTTAACCTGACCCCGTCACTACTCGACCGAGGTTAGGCTTAGCACTTACTGGGTACCGATTGTGGTGTACTCATGCTACTCTCTACACATGTATTTCGTGTGCAGATCCAGGTGCACCTTATCAGCCGAACTATCAGTGAGCCGAGATAGCTTTGGAGACTTCAAGGTATATCTACCACGTCCGCAGACCTCGGAGTCCCCTTCTACGCTTTCTCATATCCATTATCCTCTGTATTTTTCCTTGTTAGACTCTGATGTATAGCGACACTAGATTTTTCTTTGTGTAGTTTGTGATTCACGATGTTCCGGGTTTTGGGATTTGTTGTGTATTTTTGAATAATTGGTTAAATTCATATTTTTTATTATTTTATTATTCCGTAAAATGTTAGGCTTACCTAGTTGTAGAGACTAGGTGCCGTCACGAGGTCACATGGAGGGAAAATTGGGTCGTGACAGGGCTGAATGAGCCCCTCCGGAGTCTGTACACACCCCTAGTGAGCGCAGGTACCTACTGAGTGCGAATGCCGAGCGATTGGGAGGACTGAGTGACTGTGAGGACTGAGTGATTGTGAGGACTGAGTGACCGTGAGAACTTAGTGACTGGGAGGACTGAGTGAAATGATACTCTGACAGTATGCATATGGTCTTTATCACTAATTTGCATCGCATTGACATGCACATATGACATACAGACATAGAGATGTATTTTTCTCATGTTGTACGGTATCACGTTATTCATGACTTCTTATACCTACTGGCCTATGGGCATAATGATGCATTTTTCACTAGCTATCTGGAAAGAAAATGAAACATCTTATTTATTGTGGAAAGGATTTTTGAGAAAATTATTGTTTTCAACTTATTCATATTTTTGGCAACTTCAGTAAATGATTCGGATTTTTCACTGATGTACTTGAAGGCAGGACTATTTTCAGAAATCATGATTCATCTGAGCATTTTATATCTGGGTTACTCTTTTTATTACTTGCTTTGTGTTGTTACAAATTGTTGTTGCTTATGGGAGTTGGACTTTGACCTTGGTACAAGCTCGTCACTACTTTCAACCTAAGGTTAGATTTACTACTTATTGACTACATGGGGTCAGTTGTACTCATACTACACTTCTGCACCTTGCGTGCAGATATTGGATATTGATGTTGATGTGATCGACGAGAGCTGGATTTGAAGATATACTTGCGCTCTGGTTGTAGTTGCCTCTTGTTCATAGTAGCCTTAGAATTATAAAAATCTGTTTATGTACATTTCCAACAGATGATGTATTTATTTCATACCAACTTTGTAATTTCTAATTTTAAAAACTCATGATTTGTACTACGAGTCCTTGGAGAGTGAATTAGAGTCAGTTAAATATTAATTGAATCGGGTACCCATTGAGCGCGGGTACCCATTGAGTGCGAGTGCTGAGGGCTAAGAGCTGAGAGCCGAGTGGTTGAGTTGTTGTGACGAGTTGAGTATCTGTTGCCCTGAGAGGCAGTACTTGCTTTTCATTTGTTGTTGCACTTAGTTGCTATGTGTCATTGTTGTGAAATTCTCTAAAAGATTTTATATCCGGATTACATGAACTTGAACTGTATAAAACTGATTTGACTTAAACTTTTGGAAGTGAAAGCATGTCTACTCTCTGCCGGAATTACTGAAAATGAACTGTAACTGTGTGGCTCGTCATTATCTTCAGTTCCTTATTTATTATTGTTACTTGCTGAGTTAGTTGCACTCATACTACACCCTGCACTTCGTGTGCAGATCCAGGTACTTCTGGACATAACGGGTGTTAATTCTCTCGTACAGCTGATCTTCCGGAGATTCAGAGGTAGCTGTCGTGTTTTCGCAGACCTTGTCTCTCCTTCCCTATCTCCTTGTTTACCGTATTTTGGTCTTAGACTATTATAGACCGTATTTTTCCAGACTTGTATTCATATTAGATGCTCATGTACTCAGTGACACCAGGTTTTGGGGAGTGTTCGTATCAGTATTGTGGGATTTTGTATTGTATTTAAATATTATATTTTCAAACTTAAAAGAAAGTGTAATTTATTGATATTATCGGCTTGTCTAGTATCGAGATAGGCGCCATCACGACAGGTTGGGATTTTGGGTCGTGACAATTAAACTGACAATTTATTAAAATTTCATATGTCAATTTAATAATATTAAATAATGAATAATACAATTAGATAAGCAATAACAAAAAAATATAAATTTTTAGAAAATTATAAAAATATAAGTCTTATAATTAAAATATAATGAGAAAAGTCGTACATACACACATAACTAAAATCATAATAAGAAAATAGTTATAAAGGAAGAATANATATATATATATATATATAAAACAGAAATTAATAGATTTTAAAAATATTAGTAGGTTTTTTTATAAAAAATACTAAAAGGTTTATCTCCCTATACTTTTGATGGATTCAAAATTATAATTTAATAAAAAATATTATATTATTTAAATTTTCAGTAAACTATAAACTGAGAAAACTCATTAAATATTATAATGGAAACAAATGTACGAAAAGAGGGAGATAAAGATAATTTTATGATATTTATATTTTAAATTAATTAATAAATAAAAGATAAATAAATAACACTCAAGAAAATTATTGATAAATTTCGACAATTGAAGTATTTTAAATAGTATAACATAAGTTTAAGAAAAATAAAAATATTTTCAGAGTAAGAAAATATATATTTATATTATATTATAAGTGAAGTAACATCAAAATATTAAGCCAATTGACAAGTTAATAAAAAATCATACTAGTAAATGTATAATACTAAGTACTTCCTAATTTGATAATAATAAAGAATAAATAAGGAATAAATAATTTATTTGATTACTATAATGTATATCCTTTGATTTTGTGTAAATTTTGTTTTATTTCTATACACTATATTAAATAATAAAATAACAACTTATATTTATTAAAATAATATGATATATTAGTTCATAATCTTATAAGATTAATATTATGTTAAATAAATCGTGTATCGCGCGGGTTCTAACACTAGTTTAAAGAAAAGAAAGTGTTCAACTTGATTAATAATTTGTTTCAAGTATGAAGAAATATTAGAAAATCGGTTTTATGACCTGTTACAAAATATTTATATAAGTTATATGGCTTGTTTCATAAGAAACCCGTAAAATAAAAACATAAAATCGTTGATAGATCAGTTTCTTTAAGGTCAAATTGTAACTGATCATGATAATTTTCTCCAAATATAATTTGAATAGAAGAAAATGACCCTATAAAGATTTTCTATAACTATTTTCTATATTATCTTTATATAATAATCTTCTATGAACTACAAAATCAAATCTTGGACATAGAGCCAATTTGGATTAGCCGAAAAAAAGTAGCTTTTAAGTACAGTAAAAATAACTTTTAAGTACTGAAATTTGTTTTATAAATATGCAGTTATCTACTGAAACTTAAAAAAAAATATTGAAGTATTTGGTAAACAAGAGCTTGTAAATATTTTTTTCTATTAAAATGACTTAAAGATATTAATATTATAAAAGAGTTGATTACTATAATATATTTAATTTTGAATTAATAAAAATAACAAATAATTTATATCTTAATTCACTTTCAACTTAAACTGATTGCTTAAGATAATTTTTATAAATGTAATTCTTGAATGCTCATTTCCACCACTTTCAATAAAAAATAAAGCTCTTTACTTCTTATGAAATTTCAAGCGTGCTGCGAAAACATATGGGATGAATATCACATTTGTCAACATTTGTTAAAAGTTGTATACTTATTATCTAAAGCTCAGTCTCATTTCTTCAAGAGCGGTTATTTGTAAGTTCTTCGACCAAAATTTAATACATTCCAAATACTTTGCGATTGAGAACTTTGAGCTCAAGAACAATTGGGTGAATGGAATTTTGAATAGGAAGCACGAGATTATGAGATTAGAAACCTCCATTTCTCAACTAGTTCTTCTTGGAGTTGAAGAGTAGGAGGTTACCCGTCATAATAATTCGTTGATTTCACCTATTTGAGGTAAGAATCGGTCCCCATGTTATGAATTTGGCTTACAATGTTATGGGTATCATTACGTTGAAGTACAATTGGTTAGGAATTTAATTGTGAAATGAGAACTTGGAAATTGTGGGTTTTCATGCACAGATGTAATTTTATTTTTATAACAGTTGTGTTCGAACACGTTTGCGTGCACATTGACAATATTAATAGATGTCTGCTACCTTCCACCCGCAACACGTGTACTTAGAAACCAACTAGTGTTTTTTCCTCTTGTAGAATTTGGAGTTTGCAACCGACTTCTAGGCTACACCTATAGATGTTGGATTTTCAAGCATATTAATTGGATTCTTGTGTCTAATTGATATGGGCACCTTGGTAAGAATTATTATGGTGACATTGATCTATTGATGATTGACCTATGGATTGAGTATGGAGTAATTGTAAGGAATTTGGTTGAGAATAACTGTGAAAAGCATAGTTGAGGGAACCTTGAGTTAGCCAAGACTTCACGTAATGTGCATTGTGATTTCCTATTACTTGAATTGATAAAGATATGAAGCTGGTATGTTGTATCTCTAAATTCTGTGTTGCTTTATAGATTCGTCGAGGAATTGAATAATTTTGTTAATCGGAAGTCGGATTTTAGTTGCACCCAAGGCAGTGGCCTAGTGGTCAATGAAGTGGGGGAAGAACTACAAGAAACCGATTCAAATCCAGCGGAGGCAAAAACACTATGTGATTTATTTCCATCTTCCTAAGCTTAGGTGGTCAGAATTACCTAGACAACCTCGCTTGAAGTCCGCAATCGTGGAGTGCCATTATAAGTTCTTCACCGCGATCGGGCCACTCATGCCATGATCATAAGAGGTAGCAGGCACCCGATGAAATAGTCGACGTGCGCGCAAGTTATCCAGACACTATCGTGATAAAAGAAAGTATCGTTTGAGTTAATTGACAATGGAGGTGAATGATGGCTTGAACTGTGTCTTTTTTTATAAGGTAATGAAGGTGAGCAATAACTTGAACTATGATTTGTTTTCTCATAAACAAGCATGATCATGAACAGTGGCGGAACCAGGATTCACTAAGGGGGGTCAAAATACAAAGAAGTAAACCCAAGAAGAAGCCAAGGGGTGTCTATATGTAGTATATATACATAATTTGTTTTTTGTATCTAACTACACAATGTAATGTTCCGATCAGGATACATGTGGCTCCGCCTATAATCAGGAAATTGATTCCTAACTAAGCATTTATGTTCAATGATTTGAGTTTTTCTATAAAGATATATGCATTTGATATACTCTGGCATGTCGGGAAAAGTTTGAGATTCATAAGTTGATACTTGAAATATGTATGCATTACAAGATTGTTGATATGATATGAATTTATGCGTTTTGAGATTACTACTATATGTTTTCCTATTTCATAGAGTTATACTAAGTTGATGTTAATTGCATATTAACTTCGAATGTGACTCTTGATGAAGTTGGACATCAAGGTGAGTCGTTATATCTATGCCACAATATGTTTTTGTGAACTATTGTTCTAAATGATTTGTTCTGAAATATTGAATGTTTCCCATTCTCTAGAAGGGTGATACATACTAAATGTTTCCTCGTTTTGTAGGAGGATGATATTTTCGGTCCAAATAGGCTGGTTTTTATTGCTCTCAGGTATACAGCTTTCCGTTTTACTAGTTTGGACAGTATAGATTTTCCCTTTTGAAGAAGGTGGTATATGTGATGTTAAGTTTCATCATGTGCACTACTGTAATGCATTGTTAAAAAATCCATCGAAAGCTCTTGAGCAGCATCAGGTGTTCAGAAAACAGGATATGCAAATCCCATTCCTTTTGATTGAGTCTCTCAAGGATAACAACACTTTCATTCCTTTTGTAACCTGATACAGCTTTAAATACTCATCTCTTCCCTATACCTTTAATAACAGGCATGGCATTTGTAGCTGAATGCCAACTTGCTAAGTCCTGAAGATCACAAAGATGAAGGAACCCCAGTCGACCAAAACTGTCATCATTGCAGGTAATTTCTTTTCCATCATAAGCATTTTAACAAATTGATACTCCTTAGGTTTGGTAACAATCCCAGAATAGGCATCAGATCTTCCATAAGTCTTGTATACCTAAGGACTAGCAGTGAGATAAAATTTGACAACTTGTTCAAAAGAGGCAGTTTTTATCTCTCCCACTTAACCACAATCTTTGGAGGTTTTGACAAGAAGAAAGAGGTTCGAGGGGTGGAAATATTCCACCAGTTTCACAAACTAGCGTAAGAGTGCTAAGAATCTCAAGTTGCTGATGGTATTTAAGAGTAAGAGTTCCTAATATCTTCTACGTCTAATTCCTCTGATCACAACGAATGTATTCAAGTGTTTGTAGACTTGTGAGTCTCCCAAATTGCGGAGTTAGTTATCTGGGGAGATAATCTGAGTGAGCAGTAATCAGGGATCAAGAATGTTTGTAAATTGTAGGCTTTTGAATTTGCCAGTGGAGGGTGGGAGTTCAAATATGTTAGTACTTAATGCCAAAAAACTAGAGATGGACCAAGTTGCCTATGGCATCAGTTGGAATAGAGTTAGCAAAATACATGTTCTCTAACTCCAGCACATACCAACGATGGAACATATTACAGAAAGCACTGTCTTAAATGTGGATAAGCAAGATGACAGTGGAACAATTAATTAAGACAATACAAAATCATTATTGCATACAATCCCAAAAATAATTCTCTTCAAACCAATTCCACACTCAAAAGAGCCAAAACAAAAAGAAATTAAACACTCATAAAACAAAACACTGAAGGTTGAGATAAGCTCTCATTGACAGCCCTGAAATAATCAGTAAAGTGACAGAAAGCTGATTAATGCTTCCACAATCCAACTTCATCAATGCGAACGTCTTGAAGTGCTTGACAAAAATACCCCATCTGCCATTTCATATTCCATTAACTGCTGCGGTACTGCCTGTGCTGTTAAAAATTGGAATCAATAATAGTGCTTTTTATGTTGTCTCTAAATATGTTAATTTTGTTTTAATAAGTCATGAAAGTGAAATATATTNTTGTGTGGCTATAAATCATTGCATAAAAGTAAATTGTTTCCAAATAGGGAAAGAGGTCATTCTTTTTGGCACAGACTAAAAAGGAAATAGGTTCGTATAAATTGAAACGAAGTGAGTATTTATTTTTGTGGGGGGTGGAGGGAGAAGTAATTTAATTTCTTAATTCTATGTCCCCTCTCAAGAATGAGTTCTTTCTATCATTTTATTATTTGGGTATAATGTTCTGTAAAATTATCACTGTGGTTGAAGTGGAGTTGCGCATCGGCCAGAGTTTTATTGATTCGGAATAAAATTCAAATCTGAAGTAGAGAGGTGCAATGGCCAAGTAAGGTATATGAGGCCATTTTCTAGTGCTGAACTTAAGTCTTTGAGATGTATTGGCGCTGGAACATATGATCAACAAACTATGCATTTGTTGCACAATTGTTTTCAGAAATCATGTAGAAAAGTGGAAAATGAAAAAGGAAACTAATTGGTAATATACCCTACTTGTTTTCCCTGCACATGTATTTATCAAAGAGCACATACAGTGCAAGAAAATTTCTACAATATCAGTTCGTTTAAAAGATAATTAAAAATAATAATAAAATTTCTACTGTTGGACTCATGGACTATATGGCATCTGGGCCCAAAAGGAAAGACTGATCAGAATGTAGCTTTGTCATAGTGTAGCCTTCTATTTATTTTACTTGTGCTTGTAATTGGGCTCATTGTAATTACGGAACTAGCCCATTTTATATTTCAGCAACTAGTTTAGTCTTTTGTATAAGTCACTTGTACTTGGGCCATATATAAGAGGAGGAGTGGACCCAAATCAGCCCATCGGGGTTATTTTCTCTGAATCAGATCTAGAAAGATCTATTTTCTTCTCTCTTCTCTCTCACATGAACCCTAACACGATTTCTCAAATCCCGATCGATTCTCTCATGTTCTCATGGTATCAGAGCTAGATTCCGGTCGATCTCGTCCTCCTCTATCTTCCGATGTTACCCTCATCGAGTTTTGTTGAGGATTTCAATTTTGTGTGGGTATCGATTTGGTGTTCTACATACTGTTTTGTTGGATTTATGGTCGATTTTGACTCATCTCGGCGTCTTCTGACCTGCATTTGTCACTCGACTGATTGTGGAAGCTTATCTACAAGTTTGCGTGGTTGTCGTTAAACTCAAGGATTCTAGGGTTTCACGACTTCATCCTATTTCATCATCGTTGTTGCGTTGCTGAGAAGTGTTGTTTTGAAGGCCATACTTCCGGTCGCGAAGAAATCGATAACTCTGTATATCTGTTCCCTTTGCATGATATTCATCGGATAACTATTCATTATTGAATGTTATAGTAACCATGGGATCTACTGATTTTGATGTGAGTAGTGCATCTGGCACACGTGAGTTTATTCCCAAACCCTCTAGTCCCTTATTTGTTCAGTCTTCAGATGTCCCAGGTGTTTCTCTTGTACCAGTTCCCTTTTCTAGGACAAACTTTGGGGGTTGGAAAAGAAGTATCATTATTTCTCTGTCTGCTAGGAACAAAATTGCGTTTGTCGATGGTAGTTTACCTAAACCTCCAGATAATTCAATAGAGTCTAAACAATGGGATATGTGTAATAACATGGTAATTTCATGGTTAACAAGTTCTCTATCTCCTGATATTGCGGATAGTATCCAGTATTCTGAAACAGCTGAAGAAATATGGAGACAATTAAATAAAAGATATGGAACTGTAAGTGGAACTAAAGCCTTTGAAATTAAGAAAGAACTTGCCTCTACCTGTCAAGGTTCCCTAGATATTGCCTAGTACTTTAACAAGTTAAAGAAATTGTGGGATGAATTGAGAGTTGTTCGTAAAAATCATGGAAATCACTGCACTTGTAGCGCAAAGGAAGGTATTCTCAAAGAGGAGGAAGAGGATAGACTTCATCAGTTTCTCATGGGACTTAATGAAGTCTATGTCAGTGTGAGGAGCAACTTGCTCATGATGCAACCACCTCCAACACTAGAAAGTGCATATAACATTCTTCTTCAAGATGAAAGGCAAAGGCAGATCAATTCTAATTCTCAGTTTGGTCCTGATTCAGCTGCCTTCACTGCCAAAATCAACCTCAATCATCATTCTAGTCCCAACACAAATTATAAGTGGAGCGGTTCCAACAATCAGAGACAATATGTCCAAAGAGTGAATTTTGATCAAGCAAAGGGGAATCTATTCTGCAGATATTGTAAGAAGAGTGGGCACTTAAATGATAAGTGCTTCAAGCTTCATGGTTTCCCTCCTGATTTCAAATTCACCAAAGGAAAGAAAATTGCAGCAAATGCAACTATTGGAACAGAGTTTTCTTCTGACTTTTCTTCTCCTTCTGTTGCTGGGACTACTAACAATGATGCACAAGGTTCATTGGTACCTGGTTTAACCAAGTAGCAATATTCTCAGTTAATGCCTATTTTACAACATTCTCACGAGTCTGATTCTGCTCCTCAGTCTGACCTCATGGCTTCTGCCAATTTTGCTGGTAATGTGCTCATTCCCAAAGTAGTGACTTGTTCTCTTGCTTGCATGTTGAGTCAGTCCTCACCTAATAAATGGATCATTGATTCAGGAGCATCTGATCACATGACTTATAACAAGGATCTTCTAACCAATATTATACCTTTGCCTATTTCTTACCTTGTCACACTTCCTAATGGATATAAAGTTAAAGTTACTTGCACTGGGTCTTTTTCTTTATATCCTTCCATCATTCTTCCAGATGTTCTCTACATTCCATCTTTCAAACATAATCTGATTTTTGTGCACAAACTTGTTTTGTTATTGAGATGCATAGCACAGTTTAGTTCTGACTCTTGCTTGCTACAAGGCCCTTCTCTGAAGATGCCTCTGGAGCTTGGTAAATAAGAGGATGGGCTTTACAAGTTTGTCTGCACTACTGCCTACTCTTCTTCAGCGCAAAATGTTTTTACTGTGCCTACTGCATGTAGCTTTCCATCTTTACCTTCTAGTATTGTTGATCCTAGTTCTAGTTCTTCATTGTGTAACTCTAGTTCTTTTCAAAATGCTTTGTCTCCATCTGTCTCATCTTGTAATGAAGCTACATTGAATAAAATGGACATTATTTGGTATCAAAGACTTGCACATGTTCCCTTTGTTAGAATGAAGGGCATCTCTGCTATATCTTCCTCTTTATCTTCTAAGCAACAATTTCCTTGTGAAATATGTCTTATGGCTAGACAAACCAGACTCCCTTTCCCTGATAGTTCCATTCATAGTACTCATCATTTTCAAATCATACATGTGGATTCTTGGGGACCCTATCATACTCCTACACATTCTGGTTCTAAATATTTCCTAACCATAGTTGATGACTTTTCTAGATCTACTTGGACTCATCTAATGGGTTGCAAAAGTAATGCATTTTCCTTGATTAAAGCTTTTGTGGCCATGGTCAAAACTCAGCTTCACATTACTATCCAAACAATCAGGAGTGACAATGCCCTAGAACTTGGGGGTAGCCATTCTACCATTTCTTACTTCTCTGATAATGGTATTATCCATCAAACTATTTGTTCCCATACACCATAACAAAATGGTGGTTGAAAGGAAGCATAGAACATTACTTGAGGCCTGTAGAGCATTGCTTTTTCAATCCAAGGCTCCTATTAGGTTTTGGGGGGATTGTTTACTCACAACAACTTATATCATCAACAGACTCCCATCTAGGATCCTTCACAATAAGTCACCTTTTGAAGTCCTTTACAATAAAACCCCTTCTTATTCTCACTTAAAAACATTTGGATGACTGGCTTATGCTACTGTAGCAATTCCTCATAGGCATAAATTGAAAACAAAGTGATGCCTTGTGTCTTCCTTGGTTATCTCTTTGCCAAGAAAGGTTACAAACTTTATAACCTAGAAACCAAACAATTCATTGTGTCCAGGGATGTTGTGTTTCATGAAGATGTCTTCACCTTTTCTTCTTCCTCCCATGTTCCCCAAACTTCTGTTGCTTTTCCACCACCTTCTCCTCCTCCTGATTCTTTCTCTCTTACTTCTCCTACTCCTGATCCTGTTCCTTCCACTTCTGCTCCTATATCTCCTGTGCCTTCTTCACATCTTTCTCCTATTTCTGATTCACCCTGTCTTCCTTCTGCTCCTATTCCTTCTCATGTTTCTGATTCAGCTCCTTCATGTGTTATTTCTTCCCTTGTTCCTACTGCAGCAGCTCCTCCTCCTGCTGCAGGTCCTCTCAGAAGGTCTGACAGAACTCATACCCTTCCATCCCACTTGACTGATTATGTCTGCCAATTGCCACCCTCATTCTCTTGCATCAGTACTTTGACTCCTCCTGCTACTTTTGAACCCACTACTTATTCCCAAGCTGCACTATACCAGTTTGGCAGGATGCTATGAGGAAAGAGTTTGAGGCTCTCGAGGCCAATCACACTTGGGATATTGTAGCATTGCCTAGTGGAAAGAAACCTATTGGCTGTAAGTGGGTCTATAAGATTAAGTATAAGGCTGATGGTACTGTTGAAAGGTATAAAGCTAGGCTTGTTATTAGGGGTGACACCCAGGTTGAGGGGGTGGATTTCAATTAAACTTTTTCCCCCGTTGTAAAGATGTCCACTGTTAAGTGTCTGATTGCTGTTGCAGTTAAGAGAGGTTGGTCTTTGTTCCAATTAGATGTTAATAATGCTTTTTTGCATGATGATTTGGATGAGGAAGTCTATATGAAGCTTCCTCCTGGTCTTTCTGTCACTACTGCCTCATCCTCTTCCTCTCCTCCCTTAGTCTGTCGTTTACAAAAGTCCCTCTATGGCTTGAGACAAGCCTCCAGGCAGTGGTATGCCAAGCTTTCTCAAGCCCTCTACTCTAGAGGTTATGCTCATTCTCTTAATGATTACTCCTTGTTCATCAAAGGTTCTCCTGGTAATATAGTTATCATTGATGTCTATGTTGATGATATAATATTAACTGGAGATGATCTTGCTGAAATTACTACTTTGAAATCATTTTGGATGCCCAGTTCAAAATCAAAGATCTGGGCACTCTTCATTATTTTTTGGGGATTGAGGTTTCTGTTTTGCCTGGTGGTGTGCTTCTCAACCAGAAGAATTTTTCTCTGACCTTTTGAGGGAATTTGATTGCCTAGAAGTTGCTTCTGTTGTTTGTCCTCTGGACTTAAACTCCAAGCTGAAAGCTGATTGCGGTGACCTATTGGCTCAACCTGAGAGGTATAGGAGTCTAGTTGGGAAGTTGTTCCTAACTCACACTAGGCCTGATATTTGTTTTGAGGTGCAACATCTTAGTCAGTTTCTTCAATCTCCAACTCTCACATGGCTGCTGCTCTACATATGCTGAGGTACCTTAAGGGCACATCTGATCTTGGCCTATACTACTCTTAACTCTTCTGATTTCACTGTCTCAGCCTATTCAGACAGTGATTGGGCAGCCTGCCCGGACACCAGAAGGTCTGTTACTGGCTTTTGTGTATTTTTGGGTGATAGCTTAATCTCTTGGAAGTCTAAAAAGCAGCCTGTAGTGTCTCTATCTTCTGCCGAGGCTGAATATAGAGCCCTCAGCAAGGTGGTGGCTGAATTAACTTGGCTTGCACGAGTTCTCACTGATTTTGGTGTTCAGGTCTCTTTCCCTCTTTCTGTATTCTGTGACAACCAACCAAGCAGCTGTTCATATTGCTAAAAATCCTGTTTTCCATGAGCGGACCAAGCATATTGAGGTCGATTGCCACTTTGTTCGAGGGAAGCTTTCTGATGGTTTCATTCAACTTTCTCATGTTCCCACATCGAAGCAGCTAGCTGATGTTCTCACAAAACCTTTAACTGGATTGCTTCATCATCAATTTCTACGCAAGTTGCAGGTGTTCTCCCCCTCCAACTTGAAGGCGGTGTTGGACTCATGGACTATATGGCATCTGGGCCCAAAAGAAAAGACTGATCAGAATGTAGCTTTATCATAGTGTAGCCTTCTATTTATTTTATTTGTGCTTGTAATTGGGCTCATTGTAATTACGGAACTAGCCCAATTTATATTTCAGTAGCTAGTTTAGTCTTTTGTATAAGTCACATGTACTTGGGCCATATATAAGAGGAGGAGTGGACCCGAATCAGCCCATCGGGGTTATTTTCTCTGAATCAGATCTATTTTGTTCTCTCTTCTCTCTCACATGAACCCTAACACGATTTCTCAAATCCCGATCGATTCTCTCATGTTCTCATCTACACTATCAGTACATTTGATAGTATAAAATCTTTTACACTGTCGAATGTATATAAGTTAAATTCTTTATCGGAAGTGTGAAAAAGGAGAAGTTTTGTACCCCTTAATATACCTGTATATACCTGCAACTATCAATCCCAGACATTCTTTCAAGACACATTTTGAGATAATGAAAGAACGCATGAAGCCCATTCGAGAGTTATATACAGGTTGTGAGTTCGAGTCACCCCAAGAGCAAGGTGGGGAGTTCTTGGAGGGAGGGAGCCGAGTTAATTTTTGGCCTTACCTACTAAATAATGTGAAATGTGAAGAGTTCAATGATAGGGGTAAGGTCTAGTGGGTTGCTCTAGTGGTGAGCACCCTCCACTTCCAACCAAGAGGTTGTGAGTTCGAGTCACCCCAAGAGCAAGGTGGGGAGTTCTTGGAGGGAGGGAGCCGAGGGTTTATCGGAAATAATCTCTCTACCCCAGGGTAGGGGTAAGGTCTGCGTACAAACTACCCTCCCCAAACCCCATTAGTGGGATTTTACTGGGTTGTTGTTGTTGTTGTGAAGAGTTCAATGATAGCAGATTTCTCTCTATTTTCTCTCTTCTGAATGAAGTGGAAGTTGCTGTAGATTTTCCATTCTCTGGTTGTATGTAATGCACAGTTTCACTTTCAAGTTTTCCGAGTAAAGTTAGTAATGAACTGCTAGCAGTTCAGGAACAGACTTTATGACTCTGATCCCTTTCTCCCAACTATATCTGGATTCAGTATGAATTACAGTTTCTTTTTACCAATTCAACCAACAGGAACAGATTCCTACTCAACAGTAATGTAATTTTCTGGCGTAATGATCACGAAAACTTCATCCCAAAAACTCGAACATAAATCTCAATATTACCTTAAGACTCAGAAAAGTAACAAACCAAATTGGCAGAAGACCCTAATTAACCTTAAATAACTAAATAAACCAAATCTTGCAGAAACTGAAGCTTTTAGAAAGGAAATACAACAATCTGACCAGGCATAAGCCCTATAAAATCTCACATTGACAGTGTTGAGGCAATCTCTAAGGTTGCCACAAACATGCTTACTTCTTACTTTTAAAGCTAATGTCATTCAAACAGATGTCTTGGAGTTCTTGAGAATTTGGCATCTTCGACCGAAGTTGCCCATTTTCTGCAAGCCTCTCCTCTTTCATCTAAATTACATTAAACAGTTCCACCATTAGTATTATAAAAAAGACAAAAAGATTGACATTATTTAGAACTATTAATTATAATTTTCATGATACTCGGTTACAATATATACATACAGTTACTTATAGGTGGTCTTTAAGTATCATGAAAATGTGAAAGATCTTTTATGATGTCACTGTATAAAGATTAAACTGTTGTACAAAAATTTATTTAGATGAAAAGATCAACAGAAGTTATAGAAAACTGATATAGAACGAGTATAACGAATCAAATAAATGGTCAGTATGGATTGAAATTTTATTTGTAAGTACCTTCGCGATTACGTATGAGGTGAAAATGTGAATATCCATGATCAAAAGCTTCAGAGTAGCCTCGAACAATCATATATAGAAACCTGGGAAGCGATAACGTGCCTCTGTTTCCATTTTCATTATCTCAAGTAGAGCAACACGTTTCATTCTTTTTGGAATCTCCTGCAGCTTCGAACAACCAAGTATACCAAAACCTTTGATCAAAGGCATAGCAGTTGCGGCAAAATGCCACCTTTCTAAGCCCCGAAGTTTAGAAAGACGAAGGAATTCGAGCTGACCAAAACTGTCATCATTGCAGGTAATCTCTTTTCCTTCATAAGCGTCTACTAAGTCGAGGTTCCTTAGATTTGACAACATTCCCAAAATAGGCATTGGATCTTCAACGAGTCTTGAGCTCCAAAGCACCATCATTGTGATGGATTTTGGCAACTGATCTGAGAGAGGAAGTTTTTCTATTTTCCCGTGTAACCATAATTTGTTGAGGTTTTGACAAGAAGAAAGAGGTTCAAGGGGTGGAAATGGTTCACCATATTCGCAACCCAATATGAGAGTTCTAAGACTTTTCAAGCTGCCAATGACATTCAGCGAGTAAGAGTTCATAACTTTTTCCATGACTAATTCTTGAAGATTGAGTAAACCTACAGCATCATCATATTTCAAACGATCACAACGAATGTATTTAAGAGTTTGTAGACTTGTAAGCTTGCTGAGCTGCACAGCTCCTTCATATCGAGCAATTAAATGTCTCAAGTTTATTAGGTTAGACATCTGGGGAGGTAGTATGCATGAGCTACGATCAGGGTTCAAAACTTGGAGAGTTTGTAAGTTTTTGAGTTTGCCAATGGAGGGTGGGAGTTTAAAGTCATTAGCACCTAGCAAACCTAAGAACTTAAGATGGACCAGATTGCCTATGGCATCAGGTAGTGCAGGTTGAGTGAAACGGATTCTCTCCAAATCTAGCACATACAGATGTTGGAACATATTGCAGTAAGAAGTAAACTTCTTACTGTCCTGGCTACCTATTTCTACATCAAAGAACAAAAGTGTCCTTAACTTCAATGTTGAAAAGTCAAGTGAGAGGTACCTTTGTGCTTGAGCATGAATGGCGTGTCTGTGGCGCGAGAGGGGCACAGAGTGCTTTCTTGGATCATAAATATCGAACAAGTTTACCTCTGTGGCCTTTTTCACGGCAAGATCCCGAAGTAGGTCATGGATTCTACATCCAATAATCTTCTCCCAAAATGTTTTTGCCACTTGAATCAAGCTTCGTCTTACTAGCTCATTTAGGAAGTCCTCAGCGACGTCCTCCATTCTTTCTCCCACTCTAGGTATGAAGCCCTCGGCCATCCACAAGCACATCAACTTTTCTGTGTTGATCACACTATCTTCTGGAAAAATACCAAAATAAAGAAAACATTGCTTGAGCTCTGTTGACAAATCATTGTAGCTTAATGATAAAATGTGAGAGATCTCAATTGAGTTATTCTGTATGTGACGCCAAAGGTGTGCCTTCACTTTTTTCCATTCTACTAGTCCTTTTTTATGGGAAAGTAACCCGCTTAGTACAACAATGGCAAGCGGTAAGCCTCCACATCTTTCCACCATTTCGCTAGCTATTCTTTCCATTGCTGGAGACCACCCAATGTTGTCAAACTTGTCTACGCGACGCAGCTTCTTGCAGAAGAGGTCCCAACTTTCTTCTTGTCCTAGGAAACGAAGTTTATATGCAAAACCTTTGTTGTCCGCACTTTCAGCCACATCCTCCTTGCGCGTGGTAATAATAACTCTGCAGCCCTTCTTGCTATCTGGGAATGCTCTTTTCAAACTTTCCCATGCCTCTTTATGCCATACATCATCAACCACCAAAAGGTACTTGCGCTCTTTCAATAGATCACGAAGGTAACTTTCTAAATCTCTCTCTGTCATCTTCTCCAACAAATCTAGAATTTCTTTGGTGCAACCTTGGATGGATTTTATGATATTTCGTAGGAGATCTGGGGTGTTGAACTCTTGAGAAACACATATCCAAGCGCGTGTTGGGAAGCTAGTGATTAGACTAGGGGAGTTGTAGAGGTTTCTTGCAAGAGTGGTCTTGCCTATACCACCCATACCATAAATGGAGATGACACTTTGTCGAGGCTCTTCTTTGAGAAGTTCAGCAAGAAATCTTTCAATGACTTCCTGAAAGCCAACAAAAATCTGATCCTGATCATCTGCATAGGAGGTAGTTCTCCTCAATGTTCTAATCAGAGCGGACCGATTGTTAGACCTATTACTTGGCCCTTCTCCTGCAATAATATTGATATTTCTGATACCATAAGTCTCTCGTTTGCGAGAGATATCCATGATGCGTTTCTTGAGGGATTGGATCTCCTTGCCGACATTGTAGAGTTTGGTCTCCTTCCTACAGATGCAAGCGCAAGACTTAAGACGACTAGCAAATCCATGATCAGTACTGCCTTTTCCTGCCACATTGGAGCTATAAGTCTCCAATATAGCGACGGTGTCATTAGCAATAGAGCTGATTTCAAATATCCATTGTTGAACTCTTAGATCTTCAACTTGCTTTTCTTCTGCATCTTTGAAGAAAGATTGCATGAATAGCAGCTCATTTCTCAGCCACTGCACATTCTCTCTCAGACTTCTGCGCAAGGCAACTTCTTGTATGAGGAAATTGCCCAGCTTTTCAACTGCAAATGATACAAAAGCATCAACCATTTTCAGGAATCTTTGTTTTAAGAAAGTGTTGTTCTTCTCGAGTGTGCAGTTGATGTCATTCCTAATGTGCTATATATATGCACTTGTATTATGCTTTGTTCTGCTTTTCACTTTTTCTTTTTAGATATATATATTATAAGTTTGCCTGTGTTCAGGGAAAATGCCACTGAGGAGGAAGCATATTTTGATTAAAACATCAAACAAAGAATGTATAGGGCGTGGAACAGGAATTTCAGAGTTATATTTGTCAGACAACTCATCCCAAGATTTAACTAACCCACTTTTTCCTGATTCTGTGGAAACACCAACAGTTTTGGGATCTTTGCACAAATAGCTGGTTGGATCATTGTTTATTTTCGCTAGCCGGTATACATAGAATATGCACTGATTATACACGTATTGTACATATATTATACATTCTCCTGCTATTTTTTGTTTAAGCGGTTGGACGAATGACTATTTAGGTTAATTCTTCAAAGATTTTTTTTTTACCTTTTCAAGGCCATAAGAAAGTTGTAGTAGCTGCCACAATAACTGAAGGTTGCCAACCTTAGTACTGTAATAGCCAGAGGTGGATTCAGGATTTGAAGGCTCCGGGTGCCATATTGCTTTGGACTTTGACTTGATGCCTTTTGAACTTTGGTTCGGATTATTCGTCTTTTTGGTTTATATAGACAAATCGATAAAATAATTAAATAATTATAGTGAGCAAAGCATAAAAGTTCACTAATATAACTAATATCAACAAAAAATTAATATTAGTCATTTACAATTGTCTTCGGCGAATTTTTATATTCTGGAATTATGATTTGACTAAGATATGGACAAATAAGACAAACTCACTATAGATGCATGTTTAGATACTCATAGGAAAAACTTAATAAAAATCAGAAAGTTTTTTTTTAATTTTCAGAAACCGCTTATGTTTTAGTGATTATTAACTTGCTATAGCTACCATTTACTAAATTACTTCATATAGCTATGTTTTCAGTTGTTATAGACTGTATTCGATATATTTTTGCTACTATATTCATGAATACAGTAGCAAAACTCGGCGGAAAACAGGGGAGTCCAGCTAAGCAGAGAATGTATTCGACTGTATTCGCGAGCTGTATTCGTGAATACAGTAACAGAATTTGAGGAAAAAAAAAAAGGTCTTCAGCTGTTTAAAAACGGTAAGTGAATCAATTAACGCGATATACTCCTAATATAACTCAACAAACTCAATTATAACAAACAAAATTTGTATTTCTAGTTATAGAAAAGATTCTCATCAACCGAAAAATATCCTAAAAACAGAGCAATCTTCAGAGATTCAATCCATCCTTTCTTTTTTTAATGGTATTTTTACTAAAATATTTTTTAGTGGTATATTTACAAATAGATTTATATATTGAAATTATATAATTACATTGAATACATAAAGTATAGCATGTCATCTATAGTGCAAAAANATATATATATATATATATATATATGAATACATAAATTATATTAATTAAAAAAATATATGAATACATTCATGGAATACACCGAGACAGTGAATACAATGAAATACATGGAATACAGCGAGATACATTGAAATACAATGAAAAAAAAAGGTAACAGACTCTTCAAGTTTCTCAGCCCCAAACTCCATCCCCAATCCACCGATATCCAAGCCGTCGCCATGTGGGCCGTCGCCGCCGGTTAAATGAAGACAGTTGTCGAAGAAGCACCAATTTAAAGGATCAAATGGAAACTAGAGACAGAACTTCTTCAGATCTCACAAGGCAAACATTAACAATCAATGCAAAATCTAAGAAACATTTAAAATGGGTAACACAACTGTATGAAAGAAATCGCTGGCCGAATGAGGGGGTTAGGGGTGACACAACAAGGAAGGGGGGATGTGGTCGCTGGCCGGATCTGTCGTTGGCGGAACACAGCCCCTGCTAGGGTTTCTAAAAATAGGGGAGGAAAAAACTAGGGGGAAAAGAGAAGAAAGAGGAAAGAGAAAGGAGGAGAGAGGGAGAGAGAAAAATAATACACAGTGTATTTAATGGCTTAAAGGTAGGAAGTGGCCATAAATAGATATTTTGCTATAAAAATTAAAAGGTAGCTATATGAGATAATTTTTTAAAAGGGTATTTATTTATAATAAATAAGGTATCAACCTTTGCTATAGGAGGTAAAATTTCCTAGAATTTATTAAATTAAAAAAGTCAATAGGAACAGTTATAATAAAAAAAAATCCAGTGGACCAGGCTCGATCCCAAGCCCAAAGGGCGATACACTAAGCCTTGGGCCAGTGGCACCAAACAACCATTTGTTACTTAGGGTGCCACTTTACTTATTTATAACGTTCTCTACACACACACACATATTAGTCTTTAGGGTACGCGCGTTGCGCGTGTATCTCGTGTTAATGAGTATAATTTTTTTTTTAAAAATACATAAATTTTAAATAAAAATTATGTTTGAGTTATTATGAAAGAAAGTTAAAGAAAAACGTATAAATTTTTAAAATAATAATTATTGTATCATATTTATCTAATTATTCAATAAGGCAAGTGTCACGATCCGAAATTTTCACCTTCGGACCGTGATGGCACCTAACATTTCACTTGCTAGGCAAGCCAACTTTAGAATAACATTATCCATTTTTAAAATAATTTTAAATTTATTAACAACAAGGAAGCAAATGCGGAAGGAATTTTGCAATAATCCATAATAACAACGGTGTCTAAATACCATTCCAGAATTGGTGTCACAAGTGCACGAGCTTCTAGAATAAATACAAATAAAGGTATGAATAAAATAAAGCTGTCTGAAAATAAACACACAGCTAAAGTACAATAGACGGGGACTTCAGAACTGCGGACGCCATGCAGTTATACCTCAAGTCTCCTCTGGTAGCTGAAATCCGAGCAAGTCTATGGTACGCCGCTAGGACCAACTTCAAAATCTGCACAAGAAGTGTAGAGTGTAGTATCAGTACAATCGACCCCATGTACTGGTAAGTGCTGAGCCTAACCTCGACGAAATAGTGCCGAGGCTAAGGCGGTTCACTTACATTAACCTGTACGCAATATAGATAATAACAACAAATAATATAAATAAATCAGGTAACTCATTTATAATAATTGAAACCAACCCAGCAGTCATAATCTATTATTATTTCAACCAATTCTGTTACAGCATGCAACCCGCTCTCACAATATATTCATATTCAATTCTGTTGCAGCATGCAACCCGCTCTCGCAATATATCCATTTTTAATCAAGTCTGTCATATATTTATTTCAATCAAGTATATATATAGACTTTTAAATAAGTCTGTTGTGGCGTGCAATCCGATCCCCCAATATTGACTTTTCATTAAGTCTATTACGGCGTGCAATCCGATCTCCCAATATTGACTTTTAATAAGTCTGTTGCGGCGTGCAATCCGATCCCCCAATATTGACTTTTAATAAGTCTGTTGCGGCGTGCAATCCGATCCCCCAATATTGACTTTTCATTAAGTCCATTGCGGCGTGCAATTCGATCCCCCAATATTAACTTTTAATAAGTCTGTTGTGGCATGCAACCCGATCCTCCAATATTAACTTTTAATAAGTCTATTGCGGCGTGCAACCCGATCCTCCAATATTAACTTTTAATAAGTCTATTGCGGCGTGCAACCCGATCCTCCAATATTAACTTTTTAAAAAGTCTGTTGCAGCGTGCAACCCGATCCTCCAATATTTCCATTTCAATCAATTCTTATAGAAGAAATTCGTCAATAAACGCAACAATTAATATAAAATCATAAGACAACAAGCACACAATAATTATAATTTAATTATGAAACAAACAATGATAATTAACAATTTATTATAGAAATCGGGGAGAAACTAGGCAGTTTAATATTTGATATGCTAAATGTCAAATAACAATTAAAACACATAATTCAAATAGCATGTAACAATTAATGCAGGAATTCAAGAATTAATATTTTGACAAGAAATAAGAGAGAAACAATTATTATAGTAATTAATTTATAATTAAAAAATAATTTATGATTTTTCAAGTAAGCAGGCAAACAATTAATTTGACGACGTATAGACACTCATCACCTCGCCTATACGTCATTTACATGCAATTCACATAACAAACAATTTAAGGGTTCTATTCCCTCAAGTCAAGGTTAACCCCGACACTTACTCGCTTTGCAAATTTCAATCAATTATTCAATCACAACTTTTCTTTTTAAATTTGCCTCCGAAAGCTTCAAATCTATTCACAAATAATTCAATATATTCAATACTAATCATAGGAATTAATTCCATATGAATTTATAAATTTTTCGGATAAAAATCTAAAATTCATTAAAATATTCAGCAGTGGGACCCACGTCTCAAATCCTGGAAAAACTCGCAAAATTCGAACACCCGTTCCGATACGAGTTCAATCATACCAAATTTGTCCAATTCCGATATCAAATGGACATTCAAATCTTAATTTTTCATTTTTGGAAAGTTTTACAAAAGTTCCAATTTCTTCCATTTAAATCCGAAATAAATAATGAATATAGACATGGATTTGTGAAATACAATCACTATATGATAAAGAACACTTACCCAGTTCAAAGTCGTGAAAATCCCCCTTTGAAATCGCCCAAATCCGAGACTTAAAAAATGGCTAAGACCTGATTTTATGTATTCTGCCCAGCATTTTTGCATTTGCGGGCTATATTTTCGCACATGCGGTCTCGCATTTGCGAAGTAGGGCTACCAGGCAAGGTTCCGCACCTGCAGACAAAATATCGCACCTACGACTTCAGCTTCTGCGCAAAAGGGCCGCACCTGCGAAGACCGCATCTGCGATGGAAGTCTCGCTTCTGCGAGCTCGCACCTGCGGCCAAAATTCCGCAGGTGCGATTACACCAGAACTCAAAATTTCAGATTTTGCTTAAGTCCAATTCTTGTTCCGATTTCGATCCGTTTCACTTTTGGGGTACTCGGGACCCCGCTCGAATATACTAACAAGTCCGGTAACATAATACGAACTAACTCGGGGTCTAAAATCACGTCAAACAATACTGAAATTACAGTTCACACCCCGATTCGAACTTTGAGTTTTAAACTTTCAATTTGCAAATCTCGTGCCAAAACATATTAAATGAATCCGGAATGACTTCAAATTTGGCACACAGGTCATAAATGACATAACGGAGCTGTTCAAATTTCCAGAATCGGATTCCGGCTCCGATATCAAAAAGTCAACCCCGTGGACAAACTTGGAACATTTAGCCTTTAAATTGCTAGTTCCGTTAAATGGTCATAACTTGAGCTAGGGGCCTCCAAATTAAATTTCGGGCATACGCCCAAGTCCCAAATCACGATACGGAGTTATCGGAACTGTCAAAATACCGATCCGGATCTGTTTGCTAAAAATGTTGACTAAAGTCAACTCACTTGAATTTTAAAGCTCTATTTCCCATTTTAATTTATTTTTCACATAAAAACTTTCTGAAAAATTATACGGACTGTGCACGCAAGTCGAGAAATGATAAATGGTGCTTTTCGAGGTCTTAGAACACAGAATTACTTATTAAATTTAAAGATGACATTTTGGGTCATCACAGCAAGAAACTCT